TCTATTAGGTCTGCTTGGTCCAGATCTGAGTTCAAGTCCTGGATATCCTTGTTAATTTTCTGTCTCGTTGATCTGTCTAATATTGACAGTGAAATGTTAAAGTCTCCCACTATTATTGTGTGGGAGTCTAAGTTTCTTTGTAGGTGGTTAAGAACTTGCTTTATGTATCTGGGTGCTCCTGTATTCAGTGTATGTATATTTAGGATCGTTACTTCTTCTTGTTACATTGATCCTTTTACCATTATGAAGTGCTTTTCTTTGTCTCTTTTGATCTTTGTTGGTTTAAAGCCTGTTTTATCAGAGACTAGGATTGCAACTCCTGCTCTTTTTTTTTTTTTTTTTTTTTTACTCTCCATTTGCTTGGTAAATCTTCCTCCATCCCTTTATTTTGAGCCTATATGTGTCCTTGCATGTGAGATGGGTTTCCTGAATACAGCACACTAGTGGATTTTTACTTTTCATCCAATTTGCCAGTCTGTGTCTTTTGATTGGGGCATTTAGCCCATTTACATTTAAGGTTAATATTGTTATGTTTGAATTTGATCCTGCCATTTTGATGCTAGCTGGTTGTTTTGCCCATTCGTTAATGCAGTTTCTTCGTTGTGTCAATGGTCTTCACCATTTGGTATGTTTTTGGAGTGGCTGGTACTGGTTGTTCCTTTCTGTGTTTAGTGCTTCTTTCAGGAGCTCTTATAAGGCAGGTTTATAAAGGGTTTTATTTCTCCTTCGCTTATGAAGCTTAGTTTGGTTGGATGTGAAATTCTAGGTTGAAAGATCTATTCATTAAGGATGTTTAATGTTGGCTCCACTCTCTTCTGGCTTGTAGGGTTTCTGCTGAAAAATCCACTGTGAGTCTGACAGGCTTCCTTTGTGGGTAACGTGACCTTTCTCTGGCTGTTCTTAGCATTTTTTCCTTCATTTTAATGCTAGTTAATCTGACGATTATGTGTCTTGGGGTTGCTCTTCTTGAGGAATATCTTTGTGGTGTTCTCTGTATTTCCTGGGCTTGAATGTTGGCCTGCCTTGCTAGGTTGGGGAAGTTCTCCTGGATAGTATCCTGGAGAGTGTTTTCCAGCTTAGATTCATTCTCTCCATCACATTCAGTTACACCTATCAAACAGAGATTAGGTCTTTTCATATAATTCCATATTTCTTGGAGGCTTTGTTCATGTCTTCTCACTCTTTTTTCTCTAATCTTGCCTTCTTGTTTCATTTCATTGAATTGATCTTCAATCTCTGATATCCTTTCTTCTGCTTGGTCAATTTGGCTATTGAAACTTGTGTATGCTGTGTTTTTCACAACATATGTTGTGTATGTTGTGTTTTATATTTTTCTCTAAGCTATTTATTCTCCTTAGCATTTCATCTAACCTTTTTTCAAGGTTTTAAGTTTCTTTGCATTGGGTTAGAACATGTTCTTTTAGCTCAGAGAATTTTATTATTACCCACCTTCTGAAGCCTGTTTCTGTCAGTTCATCAGACTCATTCTCCATCCAGCTTTGTTCCCTTGCTGGTGAGGAGTTGTGATCCCTTGGAGGAGGAGAGGCTCTGTGGTTTTTAGTGTTTTCATCCTTTTTGCACTGATTTCTTCCCATCTTCATGAATGTATCTACCTGTGGTCTTTGTAGTTGGTGACTTTCAGATGGGGTCTCTGCGTGGACATCGTTTTTGTTGATGTTGAAGTTATTTCTTTCTGTTTTTTAGTTTTTCTTCTAACAATCAGGCCCCTCTGCTGTAGGACTGCTGGAGGTCCACTCCAGACCCTGCTTGCCTGGGGATCACCTGTGCTGGCTGCCACACAGTAAGGGTTGCTTCCAGTTTCTTCTGTTATCTTCCTCCCAGAAGGGTACCTGCCAGATGTCAGCTTGAGCTCTCCTTTGTGAGATGTCTCTTTGGATATATTGGAGTCAAGGAGCTGCTTAGGGAGACAGTCTATCTCTTCTAGGAGCTCAAGTGCTGAGCTGGGAGCTCTGTGGTTCTGCTTAGAGCTGCTGGGCAGGCATGTTTAAGTCTACTGCAGTGGAACTCGTAACTGCCTTTTTCCCAGGTGCTCTGTCCTGGGAAGTGGCTTTATGTATAAGTTCCTGATGTGTTGCTACCTTTTTTCAGAGATGCCCTGCCCAGCAAGGAGGTAGTCTACTCACAGTTTGCCAGCACAGGTGTTGCTGAGCTGCCGTGGGCTCTGCCCAGCTGCTGTGTGAACTTCCTTGTGGTTTTGTTTACAGAGGTACAGTTAGAACTGCCTCAGTAATGGTGGACTGCCTCGGTAATGGCAGATTGCCTCGGTAATGGCTGATGCCTTTCTCCCCACTGAGCTGGAGCATCTCGGGTCCAGCTGCACTTGCTGTGAAACTCTCAATCCAGAGCGTTTCAGATTGCTGGTCTTTGTGGGGGTGAGAACCACCAAGCCAAACCTGGTTCCCTGTTTCAGCCCCCTTTTTTTCAGTTGAATGGGCAGCTGTGTATCCCATGCGTTACAGACACCAGTTGAAATGGCTGACCAGATTTGTGTGAGTTTTCATGTGCAGACCCACTGTGCCGTTGAAACAGCCATGCTGGAAACTCATGGTGCTTTTCAGCCTGGGAATCTCCTGGTCTGTGGGCAATAAAAGCTCATTTGGAAACGCGGTGATCACTCACCCTCTGCATTGCTCTGGCTGGGAACTGCACTCCAGAGCTGGTCCTATTTGGTCATCTTGGATCTCTCCACATTATTATTTTAACCTTATTGAGGCGATAATACGTTTTTCTTATTAATTTCAAATGCTGTCATTAGCATGTGAAAATTTTCCTATTTGATACTCTGTCTGGCGTTTCTATTCTTTTGCATTTATCTGTTGGATCTTCGTGTGATTGTACAAAGGTAGTTTAATTATCATAATTGTAAGAACTGTTTTTATATTTGGTTCCCTCTCACTTCAGGATTTTCCTGGCTTTTTACTTCCTTTTTATTTTTTTGTTTTTTTTGCTTGTTTGTCTGTGTTCTTTCTTTGTAGAGACAGGGTCTTCCTCTGCTGTCCAGGCTGCAGTGCAGTGGCACCATCATAGCTCACCGTTACCTCAATCTCCTCTGCTCAAGCAATCCTTCTGCCTAAACCTCCCAAGTTGCTAGGACTACAGGTGTACACTACTGTGCCCCACAAATTGTTAAGAATTTTTGTGTATAGATGGGGTCTCACCATGTTTCCTTTGCTGATCTTGAACTCCTGGCTTCAAGCAAATCTCCCAACTCAGCTTCCCAAAGCCCTGGTTTATAGGCATGAGCCACAGTGCCAGCCCTGCTTATTTTCTGTGTATGAATATTTTATTTAGTATATCTAGTTTTTAAAATCTTAACATTTTTGCCTGGATCACCTTAAATGTATAAATTGATTTAGAAAGAATTGACTTATTTATAGTAATATTAGAATTCCTGTCAAATAAAAATTTTCTATTCACTTATTTCCAACATTTTTTCTGTCGTCATTTTAAAGTTCTCTCCACATAGTTATTCAAAGACTTCTTATTAAAATTTTTTATTGAAGTAGAATTTCATGGAAGAAATGAACATAAGATGAAAGCTTGATGAATTTTTTCAAACTGAACCACACGTCTGCAACACCCAGATTTAGAAACAGACTTCGCCTGACTCCAGAGCTCTCCGAGTCCCCTTCCATTCTCTCCTCCCAAGGAGCCCATCCCGACCCTGCAGCATCCATCAGGTGGTCTTTTCGTGCTCCAAATAGAAGGAGTTGAACAGGTGCACCTTTGTCTGTCTTCTTTCTTTTGATATCATGTTTGTGAGATTCTCATCGGCATGTAGTGTTTTACTCAGTGAATTCATGATAGTGATGTTTTTTCCTACTGTTAATGGGCATTTGGGCAGTTTCTAGTTTTAGTATTAGGAGTGCTATTTTTTCATATAAAATTTTTAAACTTTTTCTTATGAAGTTCGTGTCTAAGGGGTGTTGTGTATTTGCTGTGTATGGGAAACGACTACTGATTGTGCATATTAATTATGGACCCAGCCCTCAATTCAGTGAATTGCTGAATTCACTTTTGGAGTATATTTTATTTGACTTTTTGTGTTTTTTCACTGTAGGTGTCCCATGGGACCATCAGAAATAATGACAGTTTTGCCTTATCTTTTTCGTTGTTTTACATTCTGCTTCATTCTCTTTTGTAACTGTATTGGATCATGTCACCAAAACAAGGAAAATAACAGTGACATCTGTGAAATCCTAGTGAATATTGTCAAATTTACCTTCAGAAAAGTAGATTTCACCCACTCCTACCCCCATCCCTTTCATCTCCCATGGGATTTTCCATTGGAGTGTGTGTAGAAAGCATTGTGGAGACAGAGTCTGGGTCAGGAGTGTGTTTCTTGAGAGTCAGCGGCAGGCCCCATGTAGGGGGGCAGTGAAAGCAGCACAGGCAAGGTCCAGGAAAGGTCCCGCGCTGGGCCAGGTGACGGGAGGGGAGGGGCCTGCCGCTCCTGGGGCTGGGCCTTGGACATTGGCCCTGGGGACGGCCAGGCACAGCCCAGGACCATTTGGCGATGAGGGGCTTTGAGCCTTGGGAATCAGACCCTTGTGGGGGACTGCAATGGTTGAGGGGAGCGTGGAAAGCAGGGGACTCATCCCCAAAGCAAAGGAGGCAGGAGACTCCAGAAGGGGCCAAGAGGCCTGGGAAACCACACACTGGAACTGCAAATATGGCTGCCCGTCATGGAAAGGACAGGCTCAGATCTGCAGTCTGTGGCTCAGACATGAGGCACTCGTCACTTTAAGTCACCCTGGTTCTGCTGGAGCCACACGGAGTCTGTGTCAGAGCCTCAGATCGTACACTGGCAGCACATGGAGACCCAGCAGCTGGATTGAGAGCAGCAGAGCTTGCAGCAGCTGAACTGGGAGCACACGGGGACACAGCAGCTGGACTGGGAACACCAGGGCTTGCAGCTGAACTGGCAGTAAGATAACCCACAGTTGGAAGAGCAGCAGCAGGACTTACAGCAGCTGGACTTACAGCAGCTGGACTGGGAGCAGTGGGGTTTGCAGCATCTGGACGGGCAGCAGGTTGGACTGGGAACAGCAGGGCTTGCAGCATCTGCACGGGCAGCAGCTTGGCCCACAGCCTGAGGAGCAAGAGCAGGGTTTGCCGCAACTGCTCTGTGACTCTTGCTCAGTATGAAGTGAGTGGCACAATCACAGGCCACTGCAGCCTCCACCTCCTGGTCTCAAACAATCCTACTGAGTAAAAATATCTACAGGTGGGTGTCACCATGCCCAGATACTTAAAAAACATTTTTTTTTTTTTTGTAGAGATGAGGTCTCACTTTATTGCTGAGGCTGGATTTGATCTGGCCTCAAGTGATCCTCCTGCCTCAGCCCCAAATTGCAGGGATTATGGGCATGAACCACCACATGCAGCCTCATTTATGTCTGTATCATTTCCTTTCATTGTTGATTAGCTCCTTTGGGAACAGTAGGCTACCACTGTGATCTGTTTCACGGCAGGTCTCCCTGGCATTCTTTCATTGCCTGTAGGGACTTTCCAAGGGCCCTTGCACCCACTCAGCAATGGAGGGAGGAAAGCCTTCCCCAGTTCAGGAGCCGAATTCAAAATTCATGCTGTGCTTTTCCAGCAAATGCCTGTTGGTGACTGTGAGGTTCCCTGTTTTCAGCTCTGATAGACGTTTCTTTGCTTTCTCTTGCACGGACCCTGAAACCCTGGCTGACTGTGGCTCTTGGAAATTCATCCCCACCTCCTTGTATTTTGACGATCACTTTTTTTTTTCTTGAGACACCATCTCACTTTATGTTGCCCAGGCTGGAGTTCACTGGTGCAATTACAGCTCACTGCAGCCTCAAACTCCCAGGCTAAATCCATCCTCCCACCTCAGCCTCCCAAGTAGCCGAAGCTACAGGTGTGCGCCACCAGGCCCAGCTTACCTGGCTTTATTATAAGCCTCCACCGTGCATTTTCGGTTTTGTTACTGATTTGCTTGGTGCCTTGTGGGCTGTGGGAATGTACAGGGCTCAGATGCAGTCAACCCTGTGTTCATGTGTGCTGCCACCTTTGGAGTTTCCAGTTTGGATTTTTGAGTAAACGACCTGAAGCAGCATTTCCCTTAATCATCGGGAAACTAACAATAGCCATGTCCCCTACAAGATGCGCCTTTGACACACTTTTATTCCCAGTCCTACATGTGGTTGAGACAATCTAAGCCTTTATTTCTAGATTATTTCATTTTTCCTTATGCTGCATGTCTTTTATCTCAGAAATATGTCTTTGGAATGTCCACCCTGTTCTTCCCCAGCAGTATCAGCAGTCGCTCAGATCTGCGGGCGTTCCGTGGGAGCTCACTTCTCACCAGCGCTCCTGTGCGCTCTCCTCCCTCCACCTTTTCCCTCCGTGTTTGCTCGGCAGGAGGTGGTCTTCAGAGCACTCTTGTCCCCTCCTCCAACGGCGTGAGTTCTAAAGCCTTGCCTGTGTCGCTGTGTGGTGATGCGTCACCATGAAACAGATGGACTTGGCTCAGGTTCCCCAAATGTGTCACTTCCCAGGAACTCCCCTTTCCTGCTGGGAGACTGAGCTCTGAGCACACCTGGGGCCATTCTATAACTTTCCGGTTACTTTTAGTTATGGAAAGCCTGTTGACTTCATAATTCTAAAAGGCGAATTTTGTGTTTGAATCAGGTGCTCTGTGGCTCAGCGGCGCTTCCCTCCCCCTTCCCCGACCTTGCCCTGCCTGGGGTCCTTCCAAGGTCCCTGAAGAGAGCAGGAAGCTGGCAGCCAGGAGTCCTGGGCCACACCCTGCTCGGCTGGTCTTCAGTGCTCAGGGCCCTCCTGCCCCTCAGTGTCTCTAGGGCAGACATTGAATGCCAAATCCGCACCAGGCTGAGCCCTCTTCTCCTGCAGGTAGAGAGGGTGAAGATATTTGAGGCGGCGAGGAGGGCAGAAGTGAACGGTGGGGTGCTTTGTGAATGCACCAGGCCTGCTGGCAGGCACTTCCCAGCTTAGCGGACAGATCCCAGCACACAGACTGTCACCGCAGAGAAAAGGGGCTGGACAGAATGGCACCAAGTGTACAGTTGGTTTACAGACAGGAGAGGCTTTATTGCAAGGAAATTCACTGGTTATTTTGTTTTTCTTTTCTAAACAGATGGAGACAACAGGAAGGAAGGAGCCCTTCCTGGTCACAGGAGGGTCACAGGAGAATAGGCAGCGGCCCAGGAGGACCCAGTGTCCCGATGGTGTTGGGGAGCCGGTTCTTAGTGATCACCCAGAAATGCCGGCCCGGCCTTGTGGGGTCAGACCTTGCATCTCAGTCAGCCAGGCGGGAGAAGATGGTTCACACCCAAAGGTGGGGAACACTGTGGCAGTCTGTTCGGTGCCCGCGTCCAGGCGAGGACATCTCCTGCATCAAGGAAACACGCGTGTCTGGAGTGAGGAGGCCGAAGGCAGGGCCCGGTGGAGAGCCGAGCCATGGAAGGAGGCGTGTGCGTGGATATGAGCTGGAGCAGGTGCAGGAGCCTCGGGGAGGATGTGTGGGATGAACTGATTCAGGAAAACCATAAGAAACGCTTTCACCAAACAGGAGAAACCTGACGGTCTGGGTTCAGAGCCTCAGATCTTACACTGGCAGCACACGGGGACACAGCAGCTGGACTGACAGCAGCAGGGTTTGCAGCAGCTGGACTGACAGCAGCAAGGTTTGCAGCAGCTGGATTGACAGCAGCAAGGTTTGCAGCAGCTGGATTGACAGCAGCAAGGTTTGCAGCAGCTGGATTGACAGCAGCAGGGTTTGCAGCAGCTGGACTGGCAGCAGGATGACCCACAGCCTGAGGAGCAGCAGGGCTTACAGCAACTGCACTGGGAGCAGCCACAGGAGCCACAGCCCCCCTTGGAGCCCCCACAGGAGCCACAGCCCCCCTTGGAGCCCCCACAGGAGCCACAGCCCCCCTTGGAGCCCCCACAGGAGCCACAGCCCCCCTTGGAGCCCCCACAGGAGCCACAGCCCCCCTTGGAGCCCCCACAGGAGCCACAGCCCCCCTTGGAGCCCCCACAGGAGCCACAGCTGGCGCAGGAACAGGCTGGCACACAGCAGCACACGGGCTTGCAGCAGCAGATGGGCACACAGCAGCTGGAGCCACAGCCCCCACAGCCGGAGCCACAGCCCCCGCAGCCGGAGCCACAGCCCCCGCAGCCAGAGCCACAGCCTCCAGAGCAGCCACAGCAGCCCATGTTTCTGGTGGATTGAGGGTGGAGTAGGTAGAGGAGCAGGTGAGAGGGAGGGGCAGGTGTGGAGCCGCCTGAGCCTGGGCTCTTTATATACCTGTCCAGAGTCAAGCAAGACACAGGGGCCCTTCCTTGTGGCTGTTCTCACTACTTTTCCCGGGCTCTATTTTTTTCCTTGTTGCTAGTGACTTCCTCCTGGCTCAGTTGACCGTCTACTTTCTTTGTGTGCTAAATTTGTCTTTTTCCCTATTTGTTTTGTCTCCTATAATTAAAACCTCAGCTGCAGGCTGTGGGTGCTTCCCACAGAGCCCCAGGGTGCTGGTCACCTGCTCTCTGCTGACCACATGTGACCAGCGGGTGACAGCCTCTGCCCGAGCACCCTCATGTTTCTGTGTTGACTCCCCTGATAATATTGATTGTACATTTTTAGATTTTGAAATTCATCCATGGTCGTTATGCTTTACTCATGCCATTCTCAGCTTTCTGAGTGCATTAGACTGTTCTTTCCTTGCTCTAAGAACTAAAGAAATGCCTGAGGCTAGGTAATTTATAGAGGATAGAGGTTTGCTTGACTCATGGTTCTGCAACTCCACAGGCATGGCACCCACAGCTGCTCGGCTTCTGAGGAGGCCCTCAGCGAGCTCTTCCTCATGGCGGAAGGCGAAGAGTGAAATCTATTAAACTATTACAAGTAAGCATGTAATATTGGAGTTCAGGGGTTCAGGGTGCTCTCAGTTCCCCTAAGAGGACTTTTCTCTAGGTTCTTGGTCTCCCGCCCTCTCAAGAATGAGAGAGGGGACCACAGCGCAGTGCGCAGAAAATGCCAAACTCAAAAGTGTTTGTAGAAAGGGATTTATTTGAAAAGAGAAAAGCTAACTCTCACACTGAGTGAGAAGGGTTCCCAGAGTGGGAAAACCAGAGCAGGAAAGCTCCTCCCCCACTGAGTGAGAGAATCCAGAAAGACGGAATCCAGGAGAGGAAAGCAGCGTCCACACTGAGTGGAAGGGAACAGAGAGAGATGGAGTTTAGGAGGGAAGACAGGATTCCATGAGAGTGCGGAAGGGGACTCCAGAGGGGAAATCCAGGAGAGAGAAAGACGGCTTCCACGAAGGGAGTGTTCCCGGAAGGGGACCCAAACATGGAGTCGAAGGGGTGTGGAAGAAGGGGACTTTTAACCTGGGAGGAACCCCCACCTTCTCCAAGACCCCAGGCCAATGAAAGGAGTGCCTTAGAAGTTCCACCGGAGTGATTGACTCTTAGTTTCTTCCCCTGCCGTGAAATTCTAACATAAACCGTAAGAGATGGGAGGGGGCGTGGCGCTGGGAAGTTCTTGCCCTTAAAACTACGCCCCTGTGGACCTGGAAAGAGAACACCTTCCCTCAAGCATGACCTTGGATTCGGCATGGATTCATAGATAAGACACCAAAAGCACCAGCAATGAAAGAAAAATACAGATACACTGGATGTCTTCAAAATTAAACATTTGTGGGTCAAAGGACAGTATCCACAAAATGAAAGAACAATCTGCATAATGGAAGAAAATAGTTACAAGTCAGATGTTTGATAAGCATCTAGTAGAGTATAGAGAGAACTTTTTTTCTTCAACTTTTATTTGAGAATCAGGTGGTATGTGTGCAGTTTTGCCACACGGGTATATTGTTTGATGCTGAGGTCTGGAGTGTGAATGAATCCATCACCAGAATAGTGACTGTGGTGCCCAGTAGCTTTTCAGCCCCTGCCCACTCCCTTTCCTCCTCTCTCCTCTCGTTCCCAGTGTCTATGGTTTTCATCTTTATGTCCATGTGTACTCAATGCTTAGCTCTCACTTGTAAGTGAGCATATGTGGTATTTGGTTTTCTGCCTCTGCATTAGTTCTCTTAGAATAATGGCTTCCAGCTGCATCCATATAGCTGCAAAAACAAAATGACTTCATTCTTTTTTATGGCCATGTAGTATTCCATGGTGTCTATGGACCGTATTTTCTTTATCCAATCCACCATTGATGGGCACAGGTTGATTCCACGTCTTGGCTTCTGTGAATAGCACTGCAATGAACATATGGATGTATGTGATGGATGTATGTGTCTTTTTGGTAGAATGATTTATTTTCCTTTGAGTATATAGTTAATAATGAGATTGCTGAGCCAAGTAGTAGTTCAACTCACAGTTCTTTGAGAAATCTCCAAACTGCTCTCCATGGTGGCTGGATTCATTTACATTCCCAGTAACAGTGTACAAGCGTTCTCTTTTCTCTCAAGTTCTGCCAGCATGTTTTCAGCTCTTTTTATTTTACTTTTTTTTTTTTTAGTGTAATAGCAGTCATTTTTTCTTTTTACTTTAGGTTCTGGGGTACATGTGCAGGTCATGCAAGATTGTTGCATAGGTGCGTACATAACCAGGTGGTTTGCTGCCTCTATTCCCACTTCATCTGTATCTGGCATTTCTTCCTATGTTATCCCTCCCCACCCCACTGCCCCTCCCATAACCACCCCCCACCACTGCCCCCAGTATCTGATGCTCCTCTCCCTGAGTGCATGTGTTCTCATTGTTCACCACCCGCCTATGAGTGAGAACATGTGGTGTTTGGTTTTCTGTTCTTGTGTCAGTTTGCTGAGAGTGATGGTTTCCAGGTTCATCCAAGTCCCTACAAAGGACACAAACTCATCATTTTTTATGGCAGTGTAGTATTCCATGGTGTATACATGCCACATTTTCCTTGTCCAGTCTATTGTTGATTGGCATTTGGGTTGGTTCCAGGTCTTTGCTATTGTACCCAGGGCTGCAATGAACATACATGTGTATGTGTTTTTATAATAGAATGATTTATAGTCCTTTGGGTGTATACACAGTAATGGGATTGCTGGGTCAAATGGAATTTCTATTTCTAGGTCCTTGAGAAATTGCCACACTGTCTTCCACAATGGTTGAACTAAATTTACATTCCCACCAACAGTGTAAAAGTCTTCCTATTTCTCCACGTCCTCTCCAGCATCTGTGGTCTCCAGATTTTTTAATGATCGCCATTCTAACTGGCATGAGATGGTATCTCAATGTAGTTTTGATTTGCATTTCTCTAATGATCAGTGACGATGAGCATTTTTTCCTGTTTGTTGGCCTCATAAGTGTCTTCTTTTGAAAAATGTCTGTTCATATCCTTTGCCCACTTTTGAATGGGTTTGTTTGTTTTTTTCTTGTAAATCTGTTTTAGTTCTTTGTAGATTCTGGATATCAGCCCTTGGTCAGATGGGTAGATTGGAAAAATTTCTTCCCATTCTGTTGGTTGCCAGTTCACTCTAATGATTGTTTCTTTTGTTGTGCAGAAGCTCTGAAGTTTAATTAGACCGCATTTGTCTATTTTGGCTTTTGTTGCCAATGCTTTTGGTGTTTTAGTCAGGAAGTCTTTGCCTATGCCTATGGCCCGGATGGTTTTGCTTACATTTTCTTCTAGAGTTTTTACAGTGTTAAGTTTTATGTTTCTTAATCCATCTGGAGTTAATTTTAGTGTAAACTGTCATAAAGGGGTTCAGCTTCTGCTTTCTTCACATTGCTAGCCAGTTTTCCCAACACCATTTATTAAACATGGAGTCCTTTCCCCATTGCTTGTTTTTGTCAAGTTTGTCAAAAATCAGATGGTTGTAGATGTGTGCTCTTGCTTCCAAGGCCTCTTTTCTGATCCATTAGTCTATGTCTCTGTTTTGGTACCAGTACCATGCTGTTTTGATTACTGTTGCCTTGTAGTATAGTTAGAAGTCTAGCAGTGTGATGTCTCCAGTTTTGTGTGTGTGTGGTTTTTTTGTTGTTGTTGTTGTTGTTGTTGTTTTTCTTTTGCTTAGGATTGTCTTGGCTATGGGGCTCTCCCGTGGTTCCATATGAAGTTTAAAGAGGTTTTTTCCAGTTCTCTGAAGAAGGTCATTGGTAGCTTGATGAGGATAGTGTCAAATCTATAAATTACTTTGGGCAGTATGGCCATTTTCACAATATTGTTTCTTCCTAACCATGAGCATGGAATGTGTTTCCATGTTTGTGTCCTCTCTTATTTCATTGAGCAGTGGTTTGTAGTTTTCCTTGAAGACGTCCTTTACATCTTTTGTTAGTTGTATTCCTAACAATACAACTAACAATCAAAGGTATTTTATTCTCTTTGTAGCAATTGGGAATGGGAGTTCTCTCTTGATTTGGCTCTCTGTTTGTCTGTTATTGGTATATGGCAGTGCTTGTGATTTCTGCACATTGATTTTGTATCCTGAGACTTCACTGAAGTTGCTTATCAGTTTGAGGAGATTTTGGGCTAAGACAATGGGGTCTTCTAAATATACAATCACGTCATCAACAAATAGAGAGAGTTTGACTTCCTCTTTTCCTAATTGAATACCCTTTATTTCTTTTTCTTGGCTGATTGCTCTGGCTAGAATTTCCAATACTATATTGAATAGGAGTCGTGAGAGAGGGCATCCTTGTCTCATGCCTGATTTCAAAGGGAAAGCTTCCAGCTTATGCCTGATCAGTATGATATTGGCTGTAGGTTTGTCATAAATATCTTTTATTATTTTATGATACGTTCCATCTATACATAGTTTATTGAGAGTTTTTAGCATGAAGGGCTGTTGAATTTTGTAAGAGGCCTTCTATGCATGCATTAAGATAATCATGTGGTTTTTGTCTTTGGTTCTGTTTATGTGATGAATTACGTTTATGGACTTGCATAGGTTGAACCAGCCTTGCATCCCCAGGATGAAGCCTACGTGATCATGATGAATAAACTTTTTGATGTGCTTTTGCGTTCGGTTTGCCAGTATTTTATTGAATATTTTTGCATCGATATTTATCATGGATATTGGCCTGAAGTTTTCCTCAGTTTTTTGTTTTGTTTTGTTTTGTGTTTTTACTTTTTATCAAAATCTATTCTGGCTGATATGAGACAGTATCACATGGTGGTTTTGACTTACATTCCTCTGATGGTTAGTGATGTGGAACACTTTTTCATATATTTCTTGGCCATATGCCTGTCTTCTTTTGAGAAGTGTCTGTTCACATCCTTTCCTCACATTTTAAGGAAGTTATTTGTTTTTGGCTTGTTGATTTGTTTAAGTTCCTTGTAGACTGCAGATATTAGACCTTTGTAAGATGCACAGTGTGTCAATAGTTTCATCCATTTTGTAGGATGAGTGCTTACTCCCTGATAGTTTCTCTTGCTGTGCAGAAGTGCTTTAGCTTAATAAATTCCCACTTGTCGATTTTTGTTTTAACCTGCTTTTCTTCTAACAGTCCTCTAGTTTGACTTTTACAATTAGGTCATTGAGTTATTTGTTTGTTTGTTTGTTTGTTTGTTTTTCATTTGTTTGGTATATGGTATGAGATAAAGATCCAAATTCACTCTTTTGCATGTGGACATCAAATTGTCTCTGCAGCATAGTTTGTTGAAAAGATTCCTGTTTTCTCATGAAATTGTTTTGTACTCTTGTTGAAAATCCATTGACCACAACTGTGAGGCTTTATCTCCAGAGTCTGGAATCTACTCCACTAATCCATCTTTCTATCCTTAGACAGGCACCATCAGCCTTGATTACTGTTTGCCTTGTAGCCCATTTAGAAATTGGAAAACATTGAGTCCTCAACTTTGTTTTACATTTTTCAAGTTTGTTTTAGCGCTTTAAGGTCTCTTGAATGTTGACATAAATGTTGGAATCAGCTTGTCAATTTTTGCAAAAAGAAACCTTTTTTTTCTTTTTGTGGATGTGGATAGGAACGTCATTGAATTCATAGGTCAATGTTTTCCTGGAGTGTTTTGACCTTCACAATATTAGATCTTCCAGTACGTGAACATGGGAATTCCCGCGTTTACTTTGGTCCAGTTATGTTTTGTCTTGTTAAGGGTCCAAGCCTTGCACTGCTTCGGTTGCATTTGTTCCTAAAAATAATGTTATTTTTGATGGAATTGTTTCCTAACATCCTATTTGGATTGTTGATGGCTGGTTAAAGAAACGCAGCTGACTTTGTGAATGGGCCCTGTGGCCTGCACTCTGTTGAGCTCATTTATTGGGCCTAATAGTTGTTGTTGTTGTTGTTGTGTGTGTGTGTGTGTGTGTGTGTGTGTGTGTTGTGTGTGTCCCTTAGGACTGTCTACATATAAGATGAGGTTTTGTGTAAATAGAAAAAGCTTTGCTTCCTTTTTTTTTTTTTTTTGAACCTGGATGTCTTTTATTTCCTTTTCCTGTCATATTACTCTGGCTAGAGCTTCAGTAAAACATTATATAAAAGTGTTGAGTGTGGACATCCTTTCCTTGTTCCTGATCTTACAGAAAAACATTCAGATATTCATCATTAAATGTGTTGTTTGCTGTGGGTAGACATCCTCTATCAGGCTGAGAATAGTTCCTTCTGTTCCTCCCTGTGCCACACCAAAGCTGTGCAGCCTGTGAATTGACAGAGGGCACCTGAACTCCCCCTCACTCTGAGCCCAGAGACAGAGGGTGCACCGCAGCCTGTGCTCAACCACAGCATCTTGGGTCCCTGGAGCAGCACAGTTTCCAGTGCTGTCCTACAGAGCATCTCGGGGACACAGTTCATGGTGGTCTCGCTTCCCCCTCTCCCGGCTTGACCCCCACCTGAGCCTGGCTGGGCACAGAGACCACCCATTACACCCTTCCTAGACACTGAGGGCAAAGATCTCCTTGTCCCGTAAACATAGCCTCCAATGGGGAAGAACTAGGAGTCCATGATTCCAACCAAGACAGACTGAACCCCATTGAGATGAGCCGCGGCTCCCTGTGTACTAATGAGACATACTCACTCATTCACTCATTCATTCACTCATCCTCATTCATTCATCCAGAACACTAGTCATTCCTTCATTAACCAGTGCAACAACTGTTTCTGGAATGGGATCTGGGCCTGCAAACAGTCACCGCAGTGGGAGGAATAAGCTATCAGGGAGGGAGGAGAAGGACACGTTTGCCAATGAGACAGAGGCTGGAAGAAAAGAGTCACTGAGACTGAGGATGAGGAGGGGAGAATTTATTTAGTGCTGTGCCCAGATCCATTTTGGATTTCCATAGATACACATGATCATTCACGTTACAGGACATCCATCTGCAAATGTCATGGAACTCCTGGCAGACACAGGAAAGAAAAGTTTGTTCTCTCCAATGGAATTAGGGAGGGGAATTCCAGGTGTCTCCTTGACATGAGGGCCCTGTTCAGGTGCAGTCTGGCTCAGACATATGGGGGCATGTGGGAAGGAGGGGCAAAAGTGCCTGGGTCATGGGATGCCCTTATAGGGAATGGGCAGGGAGTGGTTCATTCCACTTCCTCAAGGGCTGGAACAAGAAGCCCTGAGCCAGGAGACTCATTGTTCAGCTCTGGGACAGGATATGCATCAGAGGTAGAACGCTCCTGAAGAAGAGATCTTCAGGAGCTACCTGAGATTTCTCTCTAGAGCCTCAGATCTTGCACTGGCAGCACACGGGGACACAGCAGCTGGACTGGGAGCAGCAGGGCTTGCAGCAGCTGGACTGGCAGCAGGATGACCCACAGCCTGAGGAGCAGCAAGGCTTGCAGCAGCTGGACTGGCAGCAGGAGGACCCACAGCCTGAGGAACAGCAGGGCTTGCAGCAGCTGGACTGGGAACAGCAGGGCTTGCAGCAACTGGACTGGCAGCAGGATGACCCACAGCCTGAGGAGCAGCAGGGCTTGCAGCAGCTGGACTGGCAGCAGGATGACCCACAGCCTGAGGAGCAGCAGGGCTTGCAGCAGCTGGACTGGCAACAGCAGGGCTTGCAGCAGCTGGACTGGCAGCAGGAGGACCCACAGCCTGAGGAGCAGCAGGGCTTGCAGCAGCTGGACTGGCAGCAGCCACAAGAGCCACAGCCTCCCTTGGAGCCCCCACAGGAGCCACAGCCACAGCCTCCCTTAGAGCTTCCGCAGGAGCCACAGCCCCCCTTGGAGCCCCCACAGGAGCCACAGCTGGAGCAGGAACAGGCTGGCACACAGCAGCACACGGGCTTGCAGCAGCAGACAGGCACACAGCAGCTGGAGCCACAGCCCCCACAGCCGGAGCCACAGCCCCCACAGCCAGAGCCACGGCCTCCAGAGCAACCACAGCAGCCCATGTTTCTGGTGGGTTGAGGGTGAGCAGACAGAGGAGCAGGTGAGAGGGAGGTGCAGGTGTGGAGTCCCCTGTGCCCGGGCTCTTTATATACCTGTCCAGGAGTCAGGTGGGCCACAGTGGCCCTTCCTAGTTCCTGCTAAAATACTTTCCCCAGGAATCTTTTGTGTCTCTTGTGTCATTTAAAATGACAACAATACCGTGTTGCCTTGTGACCCACTTCCTCCTCGTACAGAGTTTTCCTGTCTAATCCCTGAGGGCCCAAGTCCACCCCTCTTAGGACCCCCAGGAATGAGTAGAGCCTGGTCTATTTCTTCCCCTTTCCTTGGACCCCAGGCTTCTGTCACCGTTTTCTCTTTCCTTCAGGGCACTGCTGTCACTGGCTCGTGCTCCTGGGAGTTGCCTTTACTCTCCTCCTCCTCTCTGCCCCTGCTTACTGCAACTCTGATCTTTCTCTCAATCCTCCCTAAAGGCGTGGAAAGTCTGAGGCTCCTCCCAGCTCTCCTTCCTCTCCAGCTTTCTTGGTTGACCACTGGATGCCTTGTGGGGAGATCCTCAGCTCATCTGCCCCGCTCCTGTCCAGAGGGCAGCAACTGCCTTCGACCCTGGGCAGGAGCCTGAAGCCCTCCCGGGGCTCTGGCCCACAGCCTGTCCTGCCCCAGATTGAGGCTCTTTCTGCTGAAATCCTCAAAACAGAGCCTTGGGGAGGAGGTGACAGGTGGTTGTGGACCAGGAATCCGGGCATCTGGGAATCTTGTCTGAGGTGGCAGCCCTCGGGCATGGCTTCGCTTTTCCTCCCACGTCCAGCAGGCCCCTCCCTCCCTGGGTGGCTCAGCTCTCTTGGGAGCTGATTCTTTGGAGTTTCCCTATGCCCTTGCCTCTGGTGGGTTGTAAGACTATCTGTGCCTTCGTGGATGCTACTGGGTTTATCTGGTTCATTTTAATTGAAGTGATGAGAGCAATGGTCTCTGGTGACTTTCTGTGTCGGAATCAGAATGGAAACTCCATGGTTTCACACACGTGTGTGCACAGACACACACACTTACACACGCTGGAAATTGTATTACAGAAGAGAAAAGGTACACACACATCTCTTAGGAAGCCACACCTCTCACAGTCGAGATATTTCGTGAACACAGCAGGTTACCAACCTGCCGCATACCCGGAGTGTAGCTGAGAAGGGCCCCTTTGGAGGTGATTATCTGGGGTGGGAGCTGCTTCTCACTGTTCATTCAGTTACCTTGACTCTTCTGACCAGCCTAATGACATAGCTCATTAAAGAGAAATTGATTTTTAAAATGTTTGTGTATAATGAGAATTATAAAACACTGCTCAAAGAATTCAGAGATGACACAAACAAATGGAAAAACATTCCATGTTTATGAATGGGAAGAATCAATATTCTTCAAATGGCCATACCACCCAAAGCAATTTGTAGATGCCATGCTAGCCCTATCAAACTATAATTGACATTCTTCACAGAACTTGAAAAAGCTATTTTAAAATTCACATGGAAGCAAAAAAGAGCCTGAGTAGCCAAAGCAACAGTAAGTAGAAAGAATGAAGCTGGAGGTATCATGCTACCTGACTTCAAACTATACTGCAGGACTACAGTAACCAAAACAGCATGGTACTGGTACAAAAACAGGCACGTAGACCAATAGAACACAACAGAGAGTCAGGAAATAAGGCCACACACTTATGACCACCTGAACTTCCACAAAACTAAGAAAAACAAGCAATAGGAAAAAACTTCCTAATCAATAAATGGCACTGGGATAACTGGGTAGCCTTATGCATATGCAGAAGGTTCAAACTAGACCCCTTCCTTCCACCGTACATAAAAATCAACTCAAGATGGATTAAAGACTTAAATATAATAGCCAAAACTATAAAATACCTGGGATACAGCCACAGAAATGCCATTCTGATCCTGGACATAGGAACAGGCAAATATTTCATGATGAAGACACCAATGAAGACATGTTTTTTCTTTTTTTTGCAACAAAAGTAAAAATTGACAAGAGAAACCTGATTAAACTAAACAGCTTCTGCACAGCAAAAGAAACTATCAACAGAGTAAACAGACAATCTACAGAATGGGAGAAAGTATTTGTAAACTATGCCCCTGACAAATGTCTAATACTCCATATCTATAAAGAACCAAAAGAAATTCCTAAGAGTAAAACAAACAACCCCATTACCAAGTGAGCAAAGGACCTGAACAGACACTTGAAAAGAAGACACAGGTACAGCCAACAAGCATATGAAAAACAAACTCAACACAACTATGAAGCCCAAGAAACGAGCTCAACAGAGTGCAGGGCATGAGGCCCATTCACAAAGTCACTGCAGCGTTATTGACAATAGCAAAGACATGGAATCAACGTCAACGCCCATCAGTGACAGATGGGATAAAGAAAACGTGGTGCACATACACCATGGAATACTCTGCAGCCACGAAAAAGAGCCAGATCATGTCATTTACAAGGACATGGACAGAGTTAGTGGCTATCTATGACCATCAGCCTTGCAAACTAACGCAGTAACAGAGAACCAAATACAGCACTTTCTGACTTCTAAGTGTGAGCTAAATGATGAGAACACATGGACAGGCAGAGAGGAACAGCACACACTAGGATCTACCTGACGGTGGGGGTGGGAGGAAGGAGAGGAGCAGATGAAATAACTGTTGGGTACTTGACTGAGTACTTGGACCATGAGACAATCTGTACAGCAAACCCCGGTCACACGAGTTGACTTATGTAGCAAACCTGTGTGTGTACCCATGACCCTAAAATGTAAGTTTAAAAAATTATTAAAAGATAATTAAACATGTCTAAAATGCATTAAAGTGTTGTTTAGATACAAATGAATACAGCTTTGCTAAACCGGAAGACACGTACATCTGCATGACCCAGACAGCAACAGAGAGAGAAGGAGACAGAATCTCTCGTGGGGTGAGGACCCGTGACAGTGGATGTGGCTTCACTGAGAGTTTCAGGAGACAACGGGGACACTGGAGAGCAGGGGAAGGAAGAACGGACCTCTCACGCTCACGACTAGCTGGCAGACACCCCGACTCAACATGGACAAACCCGGCCAGGCACGAGGGCTCACACCTGCAATCCCAGCTGAGGTGAGAGGATCGCTTGAGCCAGGAGGTGGAGGTTGCAGGGAGCCAACACCCGCCACTGCACGCCAGCCTGGGTGACAGAGCAAGAACCTGTGTCAAAAAACAAAATGAAATGGTCAAAGTATTTGAACAGACATTGTCCTAAAGAGAATATGTGCGTGGGCACCACCGCGTGAAAAGACACTCACCATCCCTGGACGTTACCAAAATGAAAATTTAAACAAGGCATCCATGTCCCCGCGCTACAACAGCTGCAACCCAGAGGATGCGGATGGCAAACGCTGGCAGGGACGTGGAGAAACGGAGAGACGCAAACCCTCACGCGTCACTGGCGAGTAACGCTCCATCCGATCTGCAGAATGGTTGTGCGGTTTCTTAAAAAGTTAAATGTAAATCTACCATGTGGCCCATCGTTTCACTCCTGGCATCTGCCCAGGAGAAGTGAACGCCTACGACCCCACAGGGATCTGGGCACCCGTGTTCACAGCAGCAGATTCACAGAGGCCAGACAGGGGAGGGGTCACCAGTGTCCGCCAGCTGCTAACCGATGGACACAAGGGCCCGCTGTCAGCGAAGAAAGAACAAAACACTGATAATGTCACAACACGGACGGAACGCAGACAAGTGATCCCCAGTGAAAGACGCCTGGCACGAAAGATCCATGTTACACGATTCCACCAACAGACTGCCTTCGAGAAGGCAGACCTAGGAAACTGTTCGAATTTTCTCTTCTGTAATGACCAGGGATGTTGAGATCTTTTCACACGGCAGTACCCGCTAATACATCCCCCTTGGAAAAACGATCCCAAAGTTCTGTGCACTTTACATTGGGGTCTTTGCCGTCTAACCGTTGAGTTTGGAAGGCCTGTTCTCCCTTCTCCTGCCCGCCAGAGTCGCTGTCGTTTCATTCTGGAAGTCTCACTGGAGCTACACCGACGTCCCGGCAATCCGCCCTAGATTCCATGTCCTCTCTCTGTCGCCTGTGGAGTCATGTCCACATATGTATCCTCCTGTTTACACATCTGCATTCATTTCTAGCATGTGTGTATTTGCTTCTAAACAGCACATTGAAAAACAGACATTTTAAAAATCAATTTCTTTAATGAACTATGTCATTAGGCTAGTGAGAATAGTCAAGGTAACAGAATGATCACCGAGAAGCAGCTCCCACCTCTGAGAATCATCTCCAAAGGGCCCCTTCTCGTCTATGCTCCGTATCCACTGCGGGTTGGTGACCAGCCGTGTTAGCAGAACATCAGGAATTTGAGAGGTGCTGTTTCCATCGACATGTGTGTGTTCCTTTCCCTTCGGTAGTACAATTTCCAGTGTGTGTGTGAGTGTGTATGCATATGTGACAGAGGGTGTGTCTATGTGACCGTGTGTGTGTACACCTGTGTGCATGTGACAACGGAGGTTCCTTTCACTTCGATTCAAACACACAAAGTCACTGGGGACCATTGCCCTCATCACATGAATTAAAATGAGCCAGATAAACCCCCAAAACAGCCATGAAGGCACAGATAGTTTTACAACCCACCGGAGGCAAAGACACAGACTCCAAGGAATGAGCTCAGGAGAGAGCTGAGCCCTCCCAGAGAGGAGAGGCTCTGGCTGCTGCCAAGGTCTGCTGGGATGGGGAGGGGCCGACTGCACAGAGGCAGGGAGGGGCCTGCTGGACGTGGGAGGAAAAGCGAAGCCATGCCCGAGGGCTGCCACCTCAGACAAGATTCCCCGATGCCCGGATTCCTGGCCCACGACCACCCGCCACCTTCTCCTCAAGACTCTGTTTTGAGGGTTTTGGCAGGAAGTGCCTAAATCTGGGGCAGAGCAGGCAGTGGGGCCAGAGTCCCAGGAGGGCATGAGGCTCCTGCCCGGGGTCAGAGGCAGGTGCTGCCCTCTGGAGATGAGCGGG